ATACAATAAAGTTTTAAGTATAATTCTGGCTAAAATGTTAATTTTTGGCCAGAATTATGACATACAAATATAAGAAATTTTTTATATAGTCACATCTCTTTATAATCACCAAATATGGACTGTCCCAAATGTGTGACTATAAAGAGAGTTGACTGTATTTGTTATTAGACAAGAATTGAAGATATAACAATGATACAATTTCGAAGAAGAAAGTACAGAACTATACTGCAAGAGAATACATTACAGACAACTACAACAATGGAAGAAATTAAATCAATTGTAAACTAAAGACCTAATAATATACCCCTATGTGGCGAGTACGAAGAAATCCATTATTACGAACTTTGGTGTAATAGAATCTTTGGGTGGGAAAACATTCATTAGTAATAGTATTAACAAAGGATGCACCTAACCTAATTTTACTATAAAAGAAGCGGAACAATAATCTTTATTGTTTATGCTCATGTCACATACCGTATTTGTCCAAAAATAAGCAAGTACCAAAAATAAGCAATATCATATTTGTACGGAATAAGCAACTCGTAAAATTTTTGAAAAATTCCTTGTAAAATTTTAATAGACAATATAATAATAAATATAATTATAATTGCAAATAATGTTTAATGAAGAAAATTATGCTATTCTGGCATTAAAATCAATGAAGGAAATGCTCTATTCTGTCATTAAAAGTATTATCATCCTAATTACTTTAATATTGATTACAAATTTCCCAACTTCTGCACATTGTATAACCTTTGTACAAATTGGATGATCGTAAAATGATGATTTTGCGCATCTTGATAAGAAAAAAAGGTGTAGATTTCGAGCAATATAATTGTACCCAAAAATAAGCAACCCTATGATAAAAAAGGTTGCTTATTTTTGGGCAAACACGGGTATATATAAAAAGGTTAATTTACATTTAAATATATGCCTTTTAATTATTCCGTCCAACTAAATTCACTATGAGTATTGCTAAATATCAACGCTGGTGATTGTCATCTTACCAGAATTAGGGTAGAATTTTGGGCAGAATTAAAAATGTCATGAAACTCATGTGATGATCACGATGATCGCTGCGCGGTTGGTTCATAATCTAATTTTGGACGATATTTAATGTATCTGCTAAAGATCAAATCCTTTAACAGTTCCAATTAGGATAAATTGTACATATTCCTCCACACAAATTTTGGAAGGAGTTGTATAGTTTACACCTTACACGAACTATTCGAACGACTATAGTGTTATCATCATCATAATCTGTATTTAACAAGCGAGGTGTTGAATGGAATGATTTCGCTGGTAATATCGCCAATAAAATAATTGATAAAAGAAAAATAAAAATATCCTCATTTTGAAATTAGAGAAAAAGAAAAAGAAAAGAAAAGAACCTAGTTAACTTTTTTTGGAACAATCGTTTTTTTTTTATTATATTTTATCATTCATTCAAACTTTTAATAAATAAATAACGTCACTAAACTTCTTTGTTTATTTTTTTCTTTCATTCTGACCCTATAAAAAATTTTTCAGAAAAAATGATCACGTGTCTGTGGAGTTTTCCAGAATTTTATTTAGGGTGATCGTTTGAATGGATCCGAGAAAGGCTCACTTTTACGGAGTTTTTACAGAAATAACGGATAAAAATTTTTTATAAGGCAAGTTATGCAACTAGACCCAAATAAAAATGATTACGAAAATGGTGATATTGATAAAGATTCCGTTTTACGTGGTAGGATAATATAACGATATTTTTAAAATTTTAAATTATATTTGATATTTTTATTTTACATAGTATGAATAATAGTATTCATTTTTAATATTGAGCCTGTATCGTAACGTATATCAAGATTGTAAACTTATTGCAATGGGAAAAAAAAATGTTTAAATTCACGGCTCAAAAATCTCAAATTCGATGAAGAATCAATGAAATAATGAAAATTATTGTGCTTTAAGGATATAATAAATCCATTTTAAGATAATCATTTTTATTATTGTGATTGACATTCCGTACAACCTTATTAGCTTCGCCACTTTCTTAATTCGTTGTTCTATTTCCTATGTTAGATATGTAAATGGGATCTAACTTCTTTTAGTAGAAATTTAAAAACGAAATTATTAAGTAATCATTCAAAAAAGTTAGTTATCATTTGGAATGTTTATTTCCTTAATTTGCTACTTTATGCATGCAAATTAATATTATTTATTGTTCATTGTAATGTAAACACAAACATATCAGATATTATTCTTTAGTCAATGATACAAAACGCGTCTTACGGATTTAAAATTACAAACTTTAACTTATAGAACAAACGAAAATACGTTTAGGATGTAAAAAAGGAATTGCCGGGCCACATAACTTGTCACGGATTTGAAAATGCCATTTTACCGACATGTAAAATTACCCGACTTGCCATTTCGCCGAAAAATTCATTAGCTGCGCCACACCCTTACAGCGCCTTAATTTCAGTATTTTTTTTTTTTATTGATTAATTTATTTAGAAAGTGATAAATATAAACGATGTGCGGTTATGTATACATAATGTACATTCCTTCTATGTATAAAATGAAATAAAAATGAATACGTATATAAACATGTATAGTACGTAATTTTTTGAGTATTAAAATTCTCATTGCAAAAAAATTTTTTACATTATGCATAAAATTGTTTTTGGGAGGTGGTATGCATGATGATCACTTTTCTAAAAAAATTTTTTATCGGGAGTCAAAGTACGAGTTTATATAATTTACTGTCAAGTTTATTTAGTAGGTGTCCGACCAGCTCTACAACTTTACTTAGAGTGTAAAAGGAGGTTTTTTGCAGCGCTTCAGCTAGTTCAGCGCCTTAAAAAATATTGTATTTTAAAAAATACTATTTTTTTTTTTTTTACTTTAGTCAGTTCCTATTTATTTTATTTTATTTTTATTTTGAAATATTTTTATGATGCTAGTTATTTTGTATTGTTTACATCTTAATCTTTAAAATGTTTTATACTGCAAACAAATTTTCAAATTTCTTGTTTTTGAAAATTTGAAAATTCCGCCAGTGATTTAAATAGAAAATAGATATAACTTCTGACCAATCTTACGTAATAACTGCAGGAATTATTTGAAAAAAGGACGGAACAAGAGATTATCACATAAAAAATTTTTTTATAGTATTACAAAAGTTCTAAAGTTCTAAACAAAGCTTAAAATTGCAAGATAAAAAAAAATTTTTTTAATTTAATCCAAAAAAAAAAAAAAATTTTTTTTTCATAGTTAAATTTAATTCAATGTGTGTTGCAATCAAATTAAAATACAGTATTATAAGTTTAGTATCTCTTTGATTTCATTGTTACCCTTTTTTCTTTTTCTTAAAATATATTTTCGTTCTACATGTAAATTCTTCTGGAATTTTAACATGCGCCATTTAAAAAATCTTGAAACCTACTTGAACTTGAAAACTTGAAATTGTTTATTTTATTTTATTTTAATTTTATTTTATTCTATTCTATTCTATTCTATTTTATTTTATTTCATATATAATTTTTATTGTTGAAGCTGTAAGGGATGAATAAAATTACACCATGCAAGCTGGGAAAATAAAAATTTTTTGGTTAGCATAATGATAAATATTCTTTAAATGAATGATATAATTAGTTAGTTTGAATATAATAGGTTAGGTTGAATGCAATATTTATTGTATTTGGTTAGTTTGAATATTATATTCGTTACCGAAGTAAACTATATCCACTATATTCGGCTCGGCGGAGCGCATGGGTTAAAAAAATTCTTGCTTTGTATAAAAAGAGTAAAGAAGCACTAAAGAAGCGTTTATCTAGAATAATTTGAATTTCTTCAAAATTATGCAAAATATATATATTTATATTAAATAGTTATTGGATCCCCCATCCAATAACTGAGTTATATTTCGGTCATTAGGAATACTGCGGTGACCAATAGGAATTAATGCTACTAATACTGATTGATGTCTCATAAAAATATCGGTTAGTAAAATCCCGCATATTCCTAATCGACTGAACAATAACTTTCATTATCGTGCCCGATAATTTTGTTATTTTTAAAAAAATCAAAAACAAGCTATATGAATTAAGCTATAATTAAGCTAAAGTCCATACAATGATTATAATTATTAAAAACATAAACTAATAAATCTAAAATAAACTGATAAAATAAATGATATCACTTTTTCCTTGCCAATCTTTAAATCATGTGTTTGTAAATCACGAGTCAACTGCGGTAAATTACTATCCCGTGACATTTTAAATTTCTTATCTTGCATATCAATTTACCAAATAAAAGAGTCGTACATACAAGCCTAAAAGAAAGATAAATGCAGGAGATTGTTACATGCAGTTTCATGTTGGCGTACATGTAACAGAAGACACTCCAGAATAAGATAAACTCAATGAATTTTGAATGAAAGCCTTGTGAACCAAAATAAGCAGTATTTGAAAGTAATGATTTCTCTGAGTAAATTCCGAGTCATAGTTCTACAATCGATTTTACGAATTTGTCTAGTCAAATAATTACGTAGACCGGAGTTACATTCCCTGTTATTCGTAATTTCTATAAAAACTCCATGAATATAAATTGACTGAAACCAAATGTTAAAATTGCTTATGATTTTAGTTTTAGCTAGTTTTTACAATTGTTAAAAGCTGTAATAAAGTTTAAATGATAGTTTGTTAAAGTTAAAATTAACTTTTGTATACAATAACGACACTTCCAAAATTGTTTTCATTATAAAATTAATAACGAACTGTAAATGAAAAATCTCAATAACATTAAATTAAATTTATCATTACGAATAAAGAGTCTATTGAATAACGAAAATTTAATGTCCCAAAATTAATTTATTTATTTAGAGCGTTATAAAATTTACAATTAATTAAATCTGACACTTTCTATTGTAACTCATTCTTTAATTATAAAAATAATTATTATCTATTGAATAAAAATATAATTTCTAATTAATTGTACAAATCTTAAATTTCGCTCAAGTGTTTCCTTAAAATAATTTAAAAAATTATACATTTTTTTAATTACTTACAATCTTAAAATTTATTTTAAATTTAATTTAAAGAAAAAAAAACTAAAAATATTAATTCGAAATTGTGATTGAGCATTTGCATTATCGAAATACTCAATTATTTGTGTCGCATGCTTTCAATATTTCCATGAAAAGAAATTCTATTTCCATCAAAATCCGATCTCATGGATGTGATTTTTTAAATTTAGTTTGAGATTTAATTTTTGTTGCAAGGTTAATGTATGTTTGCGTTTAAATTCGTTTACGTCAAAATTGATTCCATAAATTTTCTTATTCAAAATACCTATAATCAAGGAAGGCGATAAAAATTTACATGTTACATGTCTTATATCATCTGGAATCTGGTAAAAGAATTCATAATCGTAATTGACATCGTGATAATCTTGCAAAGTAATTTTACAAATAACATTATAGATGTTAATATCGCCTGGCGGTTGATAAAATAATTTAAGTTCATTCGACTGCAAAGCTTGTTGTGGAGTTAGGATTTGGTCTATTGAAGCATTCTTGAAGTCGCTAATAATAATGAATAGATAAATATCAATCAAGCTTCAAATAAAATAAATAAAATGATAAAATTTTAGGACGAACCTTTTTAAAATCTGTTCCTGTAAAGAAGGAAGATCTTGTGTTAAATTCATTTCAAGATTAATCTTTTGATTCAAAGTTAACGCGTCTTTATATCTCAAGTCGTTTACATCGAAATCAATTCCATAAATTTCCTTATTTAATATATCAATTATCAAAGAGCGTGGGAACAATTTACACGTAACATGATAACTAGGTAAACTAGCTTCATAAAAAAACTCATAATCGTAATTATCCTCAAAATTTTCCGAAAGTTGTAAAGTCCCATTTTCTGAAAGTTTTATGGTCGGGTTAAAAGTTATGTGATAGAAATTATCATCATTCGGTGGTTGGTAAAATAACTCATTCAACTGCGAAATTTGTTGTACCGGTTGCATTACTTGCATTAGGTTGAAATATTGGTTTACCAAATCCAAATCAAGTGCTGCGGTTGTCAGTTGGAGCTGCTGCATTAAATATTCGTAGCTTTTTTTTTGCTATGATAGAAGAACGTAAAATATGTTCGTATTTATATAAAAAGAATTTAAAGTAACTTTTTTGCGGACGAAAAAATGGATGTTATGAAAGAATTTTTTAAAAAATAGAAATGTATCACGCACTAAGAAAATTATACAAGAAAAAAAAAATAAAAATGATAGTAAATAAAAAATATTGATATTTTGTATGTTTGGGGAATAACTAATTTGAAGTAATTCACGTTAAGCGAGATGAAAATTAAAAGATTTTTTTATTTCTGAACCTTTTTTTTTTTTTTCGCGGTTTTATAATAAAAAAAATTTCGTATAATGGGAGACAAAATAGGCAAAAAAAAAAAATTTTTTTTTTTATACACACCGACGATAATAAATTAGATCATGTGACTAACTAACGTTAATTCAACCAAGAATTATTGAAATTATGAATTCTGGTGGATAAATATGGTTCAAATTTAAAGCTCAATGACTTTAATATACGGAACATTAGCTTTATCTAACTGAAATCTTTTAATATATATTGAGATATTTTAAATTTGTGCATCAAAAAATTTTTTTATTATCTCTCTGATGATTTTATTGTGCACCCTTACTGCCGTCTGCCGTACGGTGTGACGATATTCTACTAATGACTAATCAATTTGCTTTATTTATATATTTTGAAATCGGCATAATTCTGGTCAGAATTACGTATTTCCAAATGAAGAAAATGTAATATTGGCGCAGAATGTTTTTTTTTTGTACTTATAACACCTGAAATCAAAAAATCAGATTGCAGATTGTTTGGATTGTATTTTTTATTTTAATCACTATAAAAATGTCTTGCGAGAGATAAGAAATTCAATAAGATGAACCATGAATTTAATGATTTTTAATTGATTCATCTGTTCCATCACTTCATTGTACATACAGTATATGTAATTTACGATCGACTCTCGCATTTTTATTTACATAAAAATATGCAACTCAGATTTTATTTATTTTATTTTTTCTATGCAATCTGAAGATACTGTACAAGTGTACACTAAGTGTCCATGTAAAAATAAATTGAACCGATCCAATCCCTAAATGCTTTAGTTTTAGCCTATTGAATAAAACTAATCATTTGTTTAGTAACTTTAATTTGAATAATCACTAATGTTTCTTATTAGTAAAATTCATGATGTAAAATATAACACAGAACACGTAATCTAACGAACAAATAATTCCGTGTAGATGAACTATAGAGGGTTGACCGCGTGAGACAGTAAAAACAAAATATGAAATATGTAGCTGATCAGTCTGTTTATATATTCATATTTTAATAATCGAAGTTCAGGAATTAAATGTACAGTATATGGGAATTTATTATGATATAGTAATCAGCAGTATTTCGTGTCAAAAAATAATAATGAAGTTCGCCAGTATGATGTATAAATGACGTCAAAATTAATTTACTCAACTATTTTTAATAAGTAGATTGTTATTATTCTGCATTCAACCTGGTAGATTAACTACAAATAAATTTCATTCTTTTCCCTGCCCGTAAGTCTCTGAAAATAGGAAAGTTTTCTGCTGGTACACAGTTTTGCTTATTATATTTATAAACGTTTGTCAATAAAAATTTATTTATACCGTAATCGTATGAAAACATCATCATGATATTCATTGAATATATATACATATTATATTTTGTATATAAATTGGATGTTAATAAATAATGAACGTTCGAAGATGAAGATAATTTACTCGATCATATTTGATGCTACGTATTCGATCACATGATTATAAATATTCCATGATCATCAACCCATGACGAAATTAATTTGATGAACACAAATTTTTTCCCAATATGTCATTTTTAAAGTTCTAAATTTGGATACTAGGAAACGGATCCGTTATGGGTCCGGAACAAAAAAAAAATATAACTAAAATTTGCAATTTTATTGGCTGATGATCACGCGAGTGGACAGAATTGCGCGTAGTGAGTCCGGAGCGAAGCGAGGACAATAAAAATTACATCAAGGTAATATAAGAGAACTTTCTTTTAAATTTTGTGCTTATCGGATTTAGAGTAGTGTAAATAATTTGTTTGCTATGAGAATCTTTTTATATACTGCATATATAATAAAAATATTATGTAGTATATTTCGTGTCGGCTCGCAAACTTTGGTTTATTTTTATTCCTTCGGCATTGCTTATCCTGGACAATCAAATTTGTCAATATAATAATTGATAGCCGATATGTTTAATTTTTCGTGTTATATATTTTCTTTCCTGTTTTCATACTATTTAATTTTTTAATATTTCTAATAAGAACGTACATTTTCAAAAAAAAAAAATCAACATGATTATTAATCTCATTGTAGTTTAATACAAAATGCTAACTCATTTATTTTTATTTGTTTTTTCAATAGAATCTTAGGATTTTAGAAATTATTATTAGTTATTGTTAGTTTAGCCAGATATACTGTATAATATTATTAATATTTTTGTGATGTATGTGATATCTATGAATATGCTTCGTGTACTTTTGACTTTACGTTAATGCCGGTAAAAAAATATTTTTTTTTAATAATAAAACAGGCTTTAAAAAATATTGTGCCGTTAACTGGATTGTGGTCAAGGATAAGAATGTTCTATATCACTCATAAAAGTACGTTCCCGGTGATCCTGAGGCACATCGAGTTTGAAAGAGTTTTGGGTTCATCCCTTTGTTGTTGATGTAGATGTGATGGTTTTAATTGGCGGTATTTTCGCTTGCGTTTGTTCGTATTAACATTAATGGTTGATTCCCATTTTTTAAACACGTAATTGTGAAGCGCCAGATTAATTTGGGTTTGTTTTTTTTCTTTTTCTTTCCTAAGACGTTACAATATGTATGGTCACGTGATTTAAATCGCCAATTTTTTGTGGAAGAAAACAGAGCATTTCGGTATAAAGTCTAATTTTGTGTTGTGATAACTTTACACAGCTTTTAGAATAAACTATAAATTTTACCAGAAAGATTTTTCCCGTGGCCCGCATATTATGGGGATTACATGAAAATTATATGAAATTGTATTTAAGTGTGTTTAATTATGTGAAAATTATGTGAAATTATGTACATATTATATAAAGGATCAAATTTTGATTGTGAAACTCCATAAACATCATCCTTTTAAATTCTGCGCATGTAGTAATAGCGCTTACTATCATATTTTATTTTGCGTGCTCTGCGCGTATAAAAATAACTAACGCTGGATTTTTTAACGTAACTCATATGATATGTTATTAAAATAGAGCCTTTAATTGCCATTACTTTCTGATTGGATAAAATTATCTGTTGCCTAAAAAGAAACAAAGCCATTAACATTATATTCTGTCAACTATCTTAAATCAACTTTCTCCTTTATACCTAACCCTTAGCAAATAATTTGACAACTTATCCCTAAACTAACTCTTTTTTTTTTAACTAACCATAAACTAATAACATCAGAGATATTCCTATAACAGCTTATTCACCTCTGGATGAATTAAGATAATTAAACCACCACCTAGGATTAAATAATATTAACAATCCCGGGTTAAAATTAGTCATATACTAAAAATTAAAAATTAATAATTATAGAATTTTATGCAAATAAAAGATAAACAATATTAAAAGCATTTTTTCCTTAAAATTCTAACCATTTATCTATTTATAAAGTCAGAATTAAACTTCTAAACTACTTTTTGTATATTTGATTTATAAGGTTCTAAATTTGCCGATTTTATGGAAACAAGAAAATTTGCCAATGAAAAGTTAAAAAAAAAATTATTTTTATCATATATATATATACTGTATATATATATATTGGTTAATTTGGAACCTCCAATAGGTATAATTCTGGTCGGAATTACAAATAGCGCTATTAGTCACGTGATTATAATTCTTTAAATTGTCACTTCGAACTTTATATAAATACAATAAAATGTAAGGACGTTCCGTGTAGTGCCAAGCTCTCTAAACGACAAGGAAATAGAATTAAAAAATGTAATTTTATATATCCAACAATCGATATACAACAACGCAATTACCCTCGTTTATACCCTCTAGGCAGCATACCTTGCATTGAATGCACTAGTGCCCGCGATGATAATACGCACGTGGGCTTATGCAAGGAACATTCAATTCATATCAAAAATATATTAATGCGAGCTGCTCATGATTTACATGAATTTATTATTGAGAATACGAAGGAAGGAAATTCTACTTTGAAAGATACCATTATGAATCTTCCCCTTTTTAATAACTCTTTTGTGGACGTTTTACCACAATCACATCCTGGTTATTTACTTATACACCATTTGGTCCCGAGTGACCTTGTTAAAATTTTTAATATTTATATTAATGATAAAAAATTACGGTTTTCTTTATTTTTAAAATTTTTTTCGACTTTAATGTCTTCAATTGATACAATTATTTGGACACGTCGTGCTTCCTTAGTTAAACATTGGGAACATACATTATCTATTACAAAAAACAAAAAAAGATTTTATAGAAAACGACATAAGAAAAGAGCTCCTCCTTCTCCTGATCCAGGTGCTCCTGTTCACAATTCACCTCCACGTCGACATTATAATCCTCGGCATCTCACCACTACTCCTTATTATAGGGACGGTGGTTTTAATGATAATCTCGCCCATATTCGTTGGACGACAAGTAATTATTTACATTCGGGACATTGGACTACTTATAGAGATAATATGGGGTTCAATAATATAGATTTATTTTTAACTTTACAAAATAGTTTTCTTAAAAATGTTTTTGATATTATATAGTTTATTTTTGTTTTATCTTTTCTTTTTTCTTTTTTTTTCTTATATATATATTAAGGCGGGTGTTCCTGGGAAAGTTCGTGGTTCTGACTCGCGTTCACCTATTCCATAAAGAACAGAAAGCGTCACGCCTTGGGGTGGCTTGCTTCGTAGTGATAGTATTATATATAGACTTTTTAGGTTCTCTGTATAATTGAATCTACGGGTTTGATTTTCTGTTTTCTAAAAATAAAAATAAAAAAATACAATAAAATGTAAATCATCTTTATAATTAATCCTATACACGTGCAACAAGGTACAATATATAGAAAAATACATGGAAAAAATAAATAAATAAATAAAATAAATAGATGTAACTAATAAGTAATAATGATAAATAATTCGCAACATACTAAATTAGCAAATATATCGGTTTTGATTAAGGAAGTGATGATTTTTGATTATTAGAAGTTGTATAAACTGTTGTATCGTTTTTGATTATTGAAAAAAAATGTATCAGGTATCATTTGATAGTATCGCGTTTTATTTATTTAATTTATACTAACATTAATGTATCATCATATAACATTCTTTTCCAAAAATTTTGATTTCTTTTTCATTTATTATATAATAGTTTTATATTTGCGGTTTATAACCTTGTTTATATTTTTCACGTGATAATTATATGTAAAATATTTCTTTTTATAAAGTTTGTGTAATGTTTACTTTATATTATAATATGGAAACTTACGAAAATCAAATGTTGTGCTGTGGAAAGGTATGTCACATGCAAATCTTTTAAAAATCGCTTAAAAATCACTCGTTAAAGCTATTACTGCGATTCTTTCGTTTCATATGCACTTCAAATTTTTTTTTGCAAGTTTTATTAAATGATTCACACATACTGTACATCATTATATAGAAATTACAATAGCAAATGAAAAATCACGTAAAAACGCTACCTAGCTATTAAAGAATTAGAAAAGTTAAAAAAAAATCATACTTCCAACAGAGTTATTTCTGAAACAAAGTTAGGAGTATTAAAGAATATATTAGAAGCTGATAAAAAAGGTAAAAAGTTAAAAGGGAAGAAAGAAAAAGTTAAAGAATTGTACAACAATTTGTATAACTTTTTTTTACACTGCTGTTTGATTTGTTTGATTCTAATCTTAATGATTTAAGTGATAATGCCTCAATTTAAATTCTTCCCTAAGTTTCTCCCTGTCTTCTTTTGAAATTTCTCTTGCTATTCTATCCTTCGCATTACGAATTAATAGAGCAACAAGTTTACCATTATCACTTATTTGCATAAGAACATCCTTTTCTACCTCGATACTTTGTAATCTTGTTGTAGGCGGATAACCAGTAAAATAAACGCTTAACTCGTTACGATCTTCATAATAGATAGAGTAAAGAAATAAGGGCCGCTTATCATCTATCCTCTCGTTACAATCGAATAAATGACAATACAGAAAAGTTGACGCATCAAATATTTCAATCGAAATGATCTTGTTATCAAGAACATAGCCGATGAGGAGGTTGCCAATATGATCGCAATAGTCGTGTAGAACATCATACTTCCTCAAAAAATGAATTGAAAAAATGTCTGCATCTTCATAATATGCATAGTTTGTATTTGTCCATATACTACAAAAATATTTCATTTTAAATGAGATGATACCACTATTTAAGTATACTTAATATTAAATAATAAACATACCTTAAGTTGACATCTGTCCTAAGTTTACCTTTATCCTTCGTATCATTATGTTCTTCCAAATTTAATATTTTCTTGAATATTTTAATAAAATACGGTAAGACAAATAAAAAATAAAAATATTAATATAGTAAGAAAAAAAATTATACATACATCTATAAGAAGTTCTGGGATCAAGTCGCTAGACAAATGTTCTTCTGGAGAAATCATCATCTTATTTTTAGACACCACTTTCCAATGCTACTTCCCTCTATATTGAGTAAAGAACTTTCAGTTGTCATCTTTTCTCCAGTATCGGTCACTACTTCCTGAGTAAAACGTAGGACAAGTATTTTTGTCAATAACAACACGTAATACAAGTCTTCGGTTCGAAATTTTCTTTGAATGATTATCGTATTTGATTTTGAACTCTCGCACTCTTGTATATTATCGTTATTCCTGCTATAAGCAGACACCAAATCCTCAACTTCTTCTGGTTGAAATGTCGTCTCTTTCAGTGTACGTATTCTCTTTTGCGTGAAACGTCCAGGCAGTGTTGGGTTTTGGACAGACTTTTAGGATTTGATAAAACTTTGGACAGGTTTTGGACAAACTTCCCAATACTGCCGTCCAGGTATACTGTGTTCAAAAATAATAGACCAATTTTTGTAGTGATAATATGACATAAAACTGTTATTGTTATTGAAGGACTTGTTGAGTATCTTTAATCACTACTACGTAATTTTTTGGTGACCGTATTTGACTGATGTAGCTTTTGTGTGATACAGTCTCATTACTGAAAATTCTCATCAACAAACAATTGTTGAAACACATGAATTTATTTCATTTAATTACACAATTACATAATAGATTTTTTCCTTTGTATTATCCTGCTCCCGATCGTACAAATCCAACAATAACGTTTTCTAAACATCTAATTCGTGGAGGACACGGTTTCTTGATTTTTTTGATTTAAAATATCTTAACCAGTGAACAGGTTCACATGTTACAATGTTACAAATGTTACATGTAAATTAGTACTAAATCCCTTAGATTTGACGGGTTTTTATTTTTTAATAAAAATTTTTTTATCATCTGACGTTAAAATTATATTTAGTTAAATCAATCAACAAAATTTAAGGAGAGAAATAATATTTTACTATCTTGGTAATAAATCAAATAAATTCAGACAAATGATTAATAATATAATTTAACTGACATCGATAATCAATATTCCAAATAAATAAGACTTTATTACCATAATCTCCTAATGACTACGTGTTACTAAAAATGATCTTTACGCAAAAATGTAATAACCGACATTCACAAATTTTCTTGTTCTAAATACCTATAATCAAGGAAGGCGGTAAAAATTTACATGTTACAATGTTACATGTCTTATATCATCTGGAAACTGGTAAAAGAATTCATAATCGTAATTGTCATTGACATTTTGATGATAGTCTTGCAAAGTAATTTTAACAAGTAACATTATAGATGTTGATATCGTCAGGCGGTTGATAAAATAATCTAAGTTCATTCGATTGCAAAGCTTGTTACGGAGTTAGAATTTGGTCTATTTGAAGCATTCTTGAAGTCGCTAATAATAATGAATATAATAAAAGTTTAAAATTTTAGGACACGAACCTTTTTTAAAATTTGTTCTTGTAAAAAAAGGAAATTCTTGTGTTAAACTTAGTTTAAGATTAATCTTTTGATTCCAAGTTAATGTGTGTTTGTCTCAGGTCGTTTACATTTGAAATAATTCCATAAATTTTCTTATTCAATATATCAATTATCAAAGAGCGTGGAAATAATTTACACGTAACAATCGTAAGTCGTAACATGATAACTAACGTCATAAAAAAACTCATAATCGTAATTATCCTCCAAATTTTCTGAAAATTGTAAAATCTCATTTTCCGAAATTTGTAAAATCGGTTTGATAAAAATTGTAATTTTTTTAAAAAAATTTTTATTATGTACTTTATAGTATTTTAATGTAAAATCAAGCTAATAGGTATAAATCTGGTCGGAATTACAAATAGTGTTGGCCAGCACTATTAGTCACGTGATTTAAATAAAAATGAATTGTCTATACCCTCTTTGCGTTAATAAATACCAATAATACAATAAAATTTATTTATTTAGTATAAAAATTGTGATTTACTTAAATCATCTTTATAACTAATCCTATACACGTGCAACAAGGTACAGTGGAAAAAATACATGAAAAGAATAAATAAATAAATAAATAAAATAAAATAAATAGATGTAACTAATAAATAATAATGATAAAATAATTCGCAATATACTAAATTAAATGTAAGTAAAATAATAGTTATATAGTAAATAAATCTGCTCAGAATGGGAAATGGACGATTGAAGGTTACATTAGTTAAAAGAAATTAACGATTCAATTATATAATTGATCGTATTTATAATTTAGTGATGTTACATTCGCAAGTTAGTAAGAAGAGTTTGCAATTCCTCAATTTTTATTTTAGCATTATAAACGGTTTGTTCTATTTCCTCTTGTTTTATTTGTATTTGTTGCTCTTGAAATTGTCCCAACAACCGTTGTAGTTGAAGATTCTGTTCCTCTGATTGGCGGAGTTGCTTAGTTAAGGAAGCATTTTCTTCTTTTAAAGATACCAATTTTTCGTTCATAAGAAAATTTTTTACTAAATGTTCATTTAAAGAATAAGGGAAACTTCCTTCAAAGTCTTCCTGAGGAAAAAGGGTCCAATAATAGTTAATGTTACGCCAATTTCCTTCAAAGACGAAAGACTCACTGCCGTACAATTTAGTTCTCGACCAAAGATAATAAACTTGACATTTTCTTTCAAGACGAACTAATAAATCGGCGCTTAAATCAGAAGTTTTCTTTACTAGTTTATACGTTTGACCATCGGCAATATCTCGCAATTTAATGACAGATATTTTTTCTTTGTTTACAAACCCTTGGATCTTTTCGCTATAACTTTCTACTTTGCCTCTCCAAAGGGTTTCGTATGGATTCACATTTAAATTTACCGAATTAATACAAGCTAAAATTTCTTCCTTTGTTATCATAATGTTGTCTTTATTGTTAGGGTAAAGTGAAGGATATTCATATTCAAAGACTTGATAAGTTCATTTTTTTATACATTGATCGGTTTCACATCCGTGTGCACAAACTATCAGCCAATACGGAAAATACTAATATGCACACATAATGATTTCTTATTTCCACCAAATTTCGACAAATAAAGCGAAATGTACAACAGAGAATTGTTTATATTATTATTTTTACTGTTCCACAAGGGATTTATTTATACAAATGAAGTGTGATTATATTGTTTGTTGCTCTGCATCCGTATAAGGCAAAGCTCTGAAAGAGTGATAGTTGCCCTCGGATGATAACCTTTTTTTTTTAAAAAAAAAAAAAAAATAGTAACGCGTTTATTAATTAAGAACAATAATAATATTGATTACATAATTTTTAAAGCACCTAGAAAATAAAATAATTTACATAATCATATTCTCTATAACTAAGTTCATTCTATAAATTTCTAGAAATTATATAATCTATCTAAACTAATCTATCTAAAATTATAACATTTTAATTATCATGCTCCAATTGTTCTTTATCGAATTTCCTTCAGTAATTTGATCTATCATTTTATCTTTTGTTACTAATTTAATATTTTTTGTTAATTTTTTTATTTGATTTTATCATTTTCATCTGTTTTTCTATTTTTATTATTATTTTTTTTTCTTCTGAGCCAACATCTTCTTCGTTAAGAATTCTTTATATTGAGATCTTTTTTCTTTAACCCTCTTTCTTTTTCTATTTCAGCCACTGATTCACATCTTGGTATCCATATTCTTATACTTTCGTAACAGAAACTCCATAAATTTTCTATTTGTTTGAAATTCTATCGAAATTTATATTGTAAACTCCTCTCAATAACTCCCATTCTCTGTTTTTCCCAGAAAGTACTATCGAAGGTTGTTCTAGAACTCTCTTAAAATTTGGATCCATTCACGGAAAATGTAAATAATTCGATAAATTAAAATTTTGACTTCTTCGTGTTTCTTTTCCTCTTCTATAATTATAAATCGATTCTTTAATTAATGCATCAACTTCTATTTTATTCGCTTCACATTTCCAGACGTGCTCCCAATCTTCTTCATATTTCTTACATCTAGGACATAAATTCCATTCACTCCTCTCTTATATAATATACTATACGTTGGCAATTCCTGAATTAAATTTTTTATTTTATAAGATCTATCTTTCATGTCGTTACTCGTTATGATTGCATTGCCAAAAAGAATAGTTGTTACGATTATTCACAAAATGCAATGTAATAAACCAATCAAAATATAACCCGTTAACGTTAATAAATCGTTCAATAGCAAATTCACTACTAGGACTTATACCAAAAAAATGTAATAAAAGCTCAAGCCTCTATCCGAATTTCCTTATGTAGATGGACTATTTTAATTCTAACACATGTTTTGGCAGATACTGTTGTCCAATATTTTCTCTGCAATTTTTTCTCTGAAAATTTACGGATTCCACGCAATCAATAAAAATCTTTTTCTCTCTAATCGAATCAAAAATTTGCTTAACCAATGATCAAGGCTTCATAATAATTTCAGTTAACATTACGCAATTTTTGTATTTATATTCTTTTAATTTCTCAATGATATCTTTTTTTTTTTGAAGAGTTCTTTGAAACTTAAAACTGGCCATCTTAAAAAAGTAGATCTTTGCAATCTTGGGGTTTTTTTTCCATGTTATTTCCGTAAATGTATTATATTCATGGGAGTTTTACAGAAATTACGGATCCGAATGTATTAGTACAAATAAATATCCTAAATTTTATTAGAACGTCCACAACTCAAACCCCCAGTTTTTTGTGCAGGAATAGCGCCACAACAAGTTCGTTTTCCTGATAATAATTGGAGAAGAGGGAAAGATGGTTGGATATGTATACCCCAATAGGATGATGTAGTGAAATTCTAATATATTCTCATCCCGGAACATACAATATATAATTATGATAAGAATACTAGATCAAACAATCATAAAACGAGCAAGCATTTAGTCATCTATAGACAACCATGGATTTAGGTGTCCGCATATTAGGTAGAAAAAATTTGTAGACAACAGATAAAAAATCCCGTTGAACTTTTTGCTCTGGAATCAAAGGACTATCAAGCAAAAGAGTGTCATGGTCATTTACACGTTCACATCAAACCAGAGGTGGTTATAGCATTCGAAACCACTGGAGTTGATGCTGTGTATGGAAAAATAGGGCAACCCAAGCAGTATGGCATACAAAATTGTATAGAATTAGAAACACATCGCCTGAGATGGGACAAGTTATAGAAGAGATTTATGGGTTAGATTAGAAACTAACGGACTTAAATCAGAAATTAGTGGCCTTAAATCAGAAATTAATGTGATAAAAGATGATTTGATTCAAAAGCTAGATGCGATATTGAAACTTATTCAAAATAAATAATGAATTGCCATCACAGACTTATCAATAATATCGCCAATTGATAACAATCATATCCCACCCGTATTCCACAATCATTGGTGTAATGATTATTAACAAAGAATTGAATAAATTTATTATTTATTCGCCTCATCTGCTATCAACTGTAAAACTCCCACTATATTATGTCCATTACATAGATGTTTACAATCATATATTTTTACTTATTCATTGGCTAGTCCGGAGAGGTGTAATTAGGGATTTGTATACAATATCTTACATATCGACCAACAAAAATAGTTATTATATTCCTTTACGAGAGAATGATTATCCCGGATTGTCGGTATAACTTTGTGACAATCACTATCAAAGTTACGTGATGTATTAGTGAAACTAGAAAATCCATTGTTATTTATAAAAAATGATACAAACACGAAAACAAAAATGTATGCATTCGAAAATGGACAGTAAAAAATTTGTCATTTTTAATTTCATACACGGAAAATAAATTATACGCTGTGTCGCATCTATTGTCATTATTGCCATGCGAAAAAATCCATAAACATATTATAAATGATAGTATGGTTAATAAAAAAGCCTCATTATGAGCGAAATATTATTATCGTTTCTTAGTATAAATTGCAAAGGAAAATTAGGATATACTTTTCTCGGCGAATCCTCATTATCAAAGAAATCTATCATTTCTAATGCAATTGTCGGAATAGACTGTGCGCAGTGTTGATGGCAATAATAAAAAACATGTATGTTGTAGATATCTAATGTTTAGTATCATCACTTCGTAGAATCTCTGGTTACAAAGTAACATATCTGAATAATAAAAGAATGAATCTTATGCCTGATGTTGCCACTAGAAATAAGCACAGATACAAATAGCGATGGCCTTCAAGCGGCACAATATTTTTTTATCCATCATGAAATCAAATGCAAAAGTAAATTTCTTTCGATCACAGACAATTTTTATCATATGCTTATTTGCTAATCTTTGGAATTAACACTACAGGCCTGAAATTATTCCGCATCAAAAAAATTATCTTACGGAAGTTAACTGATCCTTTATATGCTCTGTGTTGGTGGGTATGATATAGACAAGTAAATTTGTAAATATAGATAATAAACTGATGTTTATAGAATTGGATGTAATTATAAATAGAAACAAAGCTATAGAAATTTTTCGTAATTGTAGTAGTAAAGAAATATTATAATATTTTTTTATTTGCTAAAAAATCATTATATTATTTACTATGATCAGAAAAATACATGTGCGCAACTATGCTACTAAGTATTAGATTAAATTTCTATTTCACATGTTAATGATGTCTTAATTCCTAATATGCCATCCTAACTATAGGAAGAGAAATTCTACCTAACATTGATTCAAGCTTTCTTGCCAAACGTTCGTAAGAGAAGCGTATTGATCAGTTTTCAAGACTGTAGCGTCACCTAAAATTTCATGAAAGGTTTCCTTGGATGTCCATTACAATCTGCGATACATTTTCTAACAGTATACAATCTCCCCCTTTCTAAATTTTCCAATAATTCACGAAATAACTTTCTGATTCTGAAAAAACAAGTCTTCTTAATAGTATCCACTTAATTGGTCTGTGTGTTTCGGCGCTCCACGCTAAGTTCTTGATAAGATATTCCTTAGTATTATCGAGAAAGTATAATTTCATAGTCTCATCAACATATAAGAGTACTGATTTTCCCGAATGAAGTATGATACTGTCAATGGCCTTAAGAGTATTCAATGAATCAAACATTTACTAAATTTATCGTAAAACTTATCCCAGCCTAACTTGTTCTCATCGAAGAAATAGCTAATCCTTTTCGAATTTTGCTGTCTGCATTATCACCATCATATAACGAAAGTCCATTATACGTAATACAAACGCTGGTTGAATTACGAATAATGACCCTTCCATTATCCTGAGAATTTTTTTTAAAATAATTACTAACAAGTTTAATATCTTTACCTTTTAAACTAGCTAACTCGTCAAAAAAGAATGATTTTCCTCCTCCTGGTGCAGATTAAAGTGCGAAAAGTGGATGTAATTTTTTATCGCTAAGACTTTTGCATTACTGGTTTCACAATACCGTTTATAAATATAATTGTATGTTTCGCGCAGAATATCGTCTCTACCTTTTCTTATCTATTATCGCACAATTTGTGTGGCTTTGTGAAATCAGTTTTGATCCCTCTTTTATTCTCTTCATCCTCCGTTAAAACTTTACTATTGATTCAGGAGAAGATCTTTCAGAATACATGAAAAATGTTAACATAACATATTACTTCCATCATGCAAGAATACGAAATTTATATAGTTTATTCTTCGCGTACCTAGTTTCTCTTTTTTCGTTATATTTGCCTTGTCTAAGTCCGAACCTTCCGCTTTCCTTTCACTAATCGAATAAAAAATTGATAATTCATTACTGCAAATCACTTACCAGTGGTGGCGGGCACTTGGATGTTATCCGCTGCATCATCATCTTTTTATCTTCTTGGCACTAAATTTTTCTTCAATGTTAACTTCCTTAACATTTTTAAGTAGGGATACGTCTTTTTCAGTTTCCAAAGGATCAGATCAGCATAATCAATGTCT